TTTTTTTTTTTCCAAACCAAAAATATGCTATTCTTTGGCACTGAGCTATTCTGAGGTGTTTCAGAGACTGGGGCAATCAACCCCCAAGATGTTTTCTGGTTGTCTACTTTTTACTTCCATTACTTCTTATCAAGAACCTTCCAAAATCCAGAACCTCAGCCAACTGCCTTCATTGGCTTAACAGGAATGGTTCTATCTTTTGCACAAGAACAGTGCAAGACTGATGGCAGCTAGTAATGTGCTTATAGATAAAGACAGCAATAAGCTGTCTATAATGGCTGGAGTGCTGAGGCAGTAAAATATGAACATTACCAGCCTTCTAATCCACTACAAATCACTTATTCACAGATTACAAGCAAGTCTTACCCCATCTAGCACCTGCAGCTCTCTGGACAGTTTTTCTGCAAAGGCCTCAGCATTAGAGATTGCATATTCACAGCCTTCCATCATTATTTCAATATCCTGCTCTTCTCTTGCATTTAACTCTTGGTATTCATCCACTGCTTCTTCATCACCTCCTGCCACACTCTGATTTTCTCCACTTGGAACAGATTCTTAAAGAAGGTAAAAATTCAAAATGAAATAGTCAAAAAGTAGGAAGAACTATGACATGGTACTTATAGCTAGGTAAGGTCAATTTTAAGCACAGGTGACATTTAGTGGCTGAAAAATAGGAAAGAATGATTCAAACTATATGAGAAAAAAAACTTATTTTTTATAAAGAATTTCATGTTAATGAAATAAAGTCCTAAAAAAAAAAACAAGTAACAAGCATGCAGTCTAACACAGTGACTTGTAAATGTTAAAACAGGCTTTCATCACAATTCCCCAAACACCACTGATCTAAAATACAAAAACAAAACACAAAAACAGGTGGAAACAAACCTAACCATTTTCTCCTACCTGAGGTGGTTGTTGCTGTACTAAAATAATAACTATGAATTCAATACACATGAAAACAATTTGCTTTCCTTTTTTTCCCAGGTAACATTTTTCTTTTGTCATTTTTACTCTTTTCATTTTTGTTATATTTTGTTTGTTCAAATAACTTTTAATTAAAATGAAAAATGCATCTA